TTTTAAAAAAAGGCCATATATGTGGCTTGTTTGGGTTCGAAAAGTTTTAATTTGATCCCTTGATAGAAAATTTTATGCATTTCCATCCTTAAAGAGATATTCCTTTATAATGTATGTAGTCATTTCTTTCTTCAATTGATTAGCTGATAAGGGCATCTTTGAGCCAACTTAGATATTAATTGATACTAATTTTCTTCTTAGATGATCTTAAAAACACATATTTCACATTGATTTAGTTATTCAAAGATATTTAATAAAAAAAATTTGGATATCAACACTAAAATTTAACTTGAAAAGTCAAAGAAAGAAGCTTGTATGAAAACCTTTAAAAGTTATAAAAACTAGATCATATCAAGCAACAAAGGACTATCACCATAATAGAAACATAAAATAATCATTGAAAATAGATTTCTTCAACACAAAAATAAACATGCGATTTGAAGCCATTTTTTAGTAGAATTGAATTCAATTATATACATAAATTGATATAAATTTATTTAGCAATTGAATTATTATGGTTTAAATGAGATTTTACATTAGAAGACTCCATTAAATTTAATTTGCTTTTCTAACTTTGCCCATATTTCCATTTAATTCTAACCCTAAATAAATATAGTTTTCTTAAAAAAAAAATAATTAAATAAAAGTCACATGGTTTAAGCCGTAGGTAATCAAAACCATTCTAGCTCTTCAAAATCATTTTATTATTAAAGAATCATCTCAATCTAAAAATTTAAATTATTAAATAAGATATCAAAATATGATCTATATTATTCTCTAACATATCCTTTCAAGTCAAAAATTTTTAAACTTGAAACTTGCATAACCTTACATTACCTTGTATTTTTTTTATCAAATAAATAGGAATAAAAAGATTTGAATTTATAACCACTTAGTTATCAAAACTGATATCATAAAAATAACAAATCTTTTTATACTAAATTTTTATTTTTGAGTCATATACTGAATGATTAACAAATATGATTTTTAATAGGATGTGTTGATGTTGAAAGAGGACACAATAAATGAGATGGTAAGAGAGAAGGGTAGTTTAGAATATAAATATCAATGATAAATTTTCAAGAAAATCACACTTATGTTGAGGTGGGATTTGTAAACAAGATTTTTTTATTTTTTTTCTTTTTCTTTTAATAAGAAAAAGTTTATGGTTTCTATTCTTTTAGTCATGGTCGTTTTTAACTGCTAAAATTAGATGATTTAAAAAATTTATTTTATTTTCAATAAAAAGCACTTTTTTAATTAGTGGTATTTTATAGTGTAATTATAATTATTTTTTAAAATATTTTTGTTTGAAAATAATTTTTTTATTTTTTAAAATTTAATTTTAAAATCAATATATCAAAATAATTTTAAAATTTTAAAAATAAATTTATTAAACATTTGTTTGAATTGTGTAAGTTTGACTACTAATATCATCCATGTGACGTGTGTCCGTATCTAATGATATTTATTTATATATTTAATATAACGTAAATAAATATAGTTTTTTCAAGAAAAAATATATGATTAAATGAAATTCACATGGTTTAAGCCTAGGCAATCAAAACCATTCTAACTTATCAAAATCATTTTATTATCAAAGAATCATCTCAACCTAAAAATTTAAATTATTAAATAAGATCTCAAGATATGATCTATATTATTCTCTAACACATCCTCTCAAGTAAAAGTTTTTTAAACTTGAAACTTGCACAACCTTACATTATCTTGTGTTTTTTTATCAAATAAATAGAAATAAAAAGATTTGAACTTATAACTATTTGATCATCAAAACTAATATTATAAAAATAACAAATCCTTTTATTCT